CTCCAATCAGGCCGAAACATGCATGATCACACAATGGATATGTAACTAACCAAATAAAACAAACACTAATCTAGCACACAAGGATTAATCTCAACAGTCGACGACGAGAATCACGGCGGCGCCGAGGACCAGATGGCTTGAGAGCGTCGAGGAAAGCCGGACCCCTTCGCGTACAGGTTGACGGGGCCTCCTCTTCTCCCCGTCCCCCGGCCGCTGCGCCGTCGACGAGTAGGGCAACAACGATGGCGACGGCGCATCTCCACGGGATGAATCAGCGGAGTCGCACCGCACGATGTTGCGCTTCGGGGAAGAGAGAAAGGAAAACGCTCGAGGGGATTGGTTGTACACACGGTGCAGGAGCGGTGCGTTTCCACAGGTTCCTATCATGCCCCTTGCGAGCGAACGGCAGGGATGATTTCGGTACCATGCGGTACCAGTACTGCAAGGTACTATCTGATGGACCAGAGCAAACCTATATATAATAAGTTTTTTTTAACTCATTATGAATCATGAAACTAGCTGTGTTCTGATCCGCAGATCTCAGGAATTATCGTACAGATCAAATTTAAAACAAATCATGACACTACTGGTTGTGTACATTAGATGTAGAAGCCGGGTTACAAACTTACAATCCATTATATATTAAAAAATAAATTTAAAACAAATCATGACAATATATTGGATGTGGAGGCAGGGGTTTTATCCATTATAAAAAAAACAAATCATGACACTATTAGTTGTGTACATAGATGTAGAGGCCAGGTTTTAATCTATTATCAAAAAATAAAATTTAAAACAAATCATGATGTATACATCTATTTTGAATGTAGAAACCAGTTATCCATTATCTAAAATAAATAAAATTTAAAACAAAAGAAAAATCGATGCATCTTTGTTTACTGATCTATTACATTTCTAATTATTATGTTCTTTGAGAAAACAGATAAATGTAGACTCAAAACTGCATGAATGTAGGAGCACTAGTTCTTATGATCATATATATCCAGTGTAGGTAGGAGTATTGCGGGCACTTTTCGCTTTGTGGCCCTCAGGAGATCTTGTTTCAACTTTCCTTGTGTCTGACAACACATCTGGTTAGATGATCTTCAGTTTGGCTATTGTAGCTGGAATGGAACCTCGGAGTATGCTAGCAGCTAACGTGCCAAAGTTTTCAGATTCGTCAGCCTTTTCTGGCTTTGTGCTGCGGCCACAACACACAAGACGCATCCAATGCCTGTCCGGGGGCATTTTCGAACAACGATGTTCTTCCTTATTTTGCTGCTTAAAATTTGGTGTAGATTTTTGTTTGTCATTGGCTTCATTGAGAGAATGAGTGGTAAACAAGAGGATAAATAAAATTTTAGTGGTATATAAGAAATTTATTTACTATACTACCGTCACCAAAAAAGAGTTATCAAATTAGTACAATATAAGATAAAGACCAAAGTGTCCATCACTAAAAGGAAAATAGTATTGTCGGTTGAATAGATTAGGGGCATTGAAAAAATAAAACCTGTTTAATACTTCTTGATTTGTGAACCAAAGTAGGTAAGGATTGTAAATTAACTTTTTAGGGGATAAATTTTAAACGCGAGAAAATCTTACTTTTCTTGGAACAGAGGGAGAAATCATAATTTTCAACAAAGAGCGAACTTAAGTGGTGAGATTGTGTACCTAATCTCACACCACTGAGTTTCTTGACAAATCTAGTTTGGCGCACAGAATAAAAAATAGCATATGGTTGTTCTAGTTACATGAGATAAAATTTCTACCTGAGATAAATGTAGGGAAATCCACTTGGTAATAAGCATACGGTTGTTCTAGTTACATTGCTCGGACAAGACATACCACGTTATGGGCACTGTAGGTGGGTCATCGTATCATGGGCTTGTATTTTGGTACATCCAAATATCCTAACAGTGTACATGCACAGCAGCTAGCACTGATATGGTTACACTACTGTATCTCTGCATGGTCTATCTGATTTTAATTCCAGCCACTGGAATATGACCAATTGCATATGCATGTTCCGTTTTGCTGAATCTAGATAAACATATGCAGATTTGACGCAAATGTATCTCATCATGGGGTCCCTTTGTCAGGATTATTGTATATCGATAGGGTGATTATCACCAAACTAGCAGTGTATTTGAAACTAACTTGTATCAACAAAATGAGATAAAATCTGGCTGTAAGACACCTCCTCTAGGTATGCAATTGGTAGTTAATGGCATCTTCTCTAAAGTTCAGAAAACAGTAGAACACCAGATGCTGAAAGTCAAACTGGAAAGAAATAATCTAAGGACCGACAGCTGAAATTTTCTCTTAATAATTATATGAAAATTAGGACATATTGGCTTAAGCCGACAATTGTGCAGAAGGAATCACCGGATCACACGTTTTTCATCATCGAGCAATATTGAATCATGCACCGACAATGAAGAGATTACAATATTCATTTAGTCTATGACCGGCCAAAACATCAGTTTAATGATACGTTTTCTTCCCCAGAAACTATGCACCGTGATTGGCACATGGTAGAGCCAAAGTTTTACATAAACAAAACTACCTAATTCTTTTTCAAGATATATGGAAGCTTTTATTGAACTCAAGCAATTACATTAAGTTGATACAACAAATATATCGAAAATACTCGTGACATATGCATAACTAGAATGCGAACAAATACGCTCACACCCACGAGTTCTAAAATAAAAATGATATAAGAAATGTAAGGAACCATCAATCCGTCGACTAGATCACTACCCATAAACCTAGATAAAACACTCCCTCACCTCCTACTCTCAATGTTGGCACGTCGTGACAACCAAATCCTGCAACCTCGGTTTATGTAGGATAACCTAGTTACTGAGCTAGTTATGCTTTTTTTTTTGTTCATTTAGTACATATTGCATCAATGGATCTCCTTTTTTTCCCCTAATAATTTGAGGATGGTGAATCGAAAGGAAAAAAGGTGTTCCGAGTACAGTTTCACCTTTATGAAAAATTTGAAGGATAATGTTAAGGCTACGCAAAGACACTAGGCATGGCATGATAAATTGAAGGCCGGAGGATCAGGCCACCAACAGACAAGAAGAAAGGTCAGGGAAGAAAAGGCCAAAGGCAGCCAGCTTACTGTGCCAATTCTCAAAGATCAAAAACTCAGAAAGAAGTATGCAGCTGTTGAGATAAGTTCAGTGCAGTTATTTTTATCAAGCCCTGCAATAGAACAGGGGAGGAGACAAAGCCCTAACATGAGAGCATGATGCGATGATCTGGTGTTGGTGTGAAATATTATGATGGTTACCTCCAGAAAAGGACAGATCACAGATGATTCTCAAAGTTGGGCATATATAAAGGCCTCTGAAGATATCACAAACATGTTCAGACTTCAGACACAATTCTACTCCCTCCATAATTTTCATTTCAGTCATATAATTTCTGCCACTTAAATTTTGAACTAACACCTACAAAACTCAGTGTGACAATTCGCTGTTTTCTTAAACTGTTTGGAAGAAAAAAAATGATAAAAACTAAACTAGATTAGACTAAACTGTCGGAGAGTTGGTAGTGAGAAAACGATGGCTCTACGGATACAGCTGCCAGGTGCAATATTCAATCTGTTTCGCTATCCCCTAACAAACGAACAGAGTCTCCCTCCGGCACATGCGGCCCAAAGGGGGAGAAAAAAGATTGGAGAAAAGACAGATAAGACACACGAGTTAGTTGACTGGGGATGAACTCATTATGTATTAGTATGAGTGTTATATATATGCATTGGAAACAGGGACTTTTCACCGAATGTGCAGGCATAAACACATATACAAATATTCAAATTTTGTAGTGAAAGATAGCCCATTGGATTTGGATATGCCAAGTTGCCAGCTCTGTGAAGTTCGTAGTCTCCAATAGAAAAAAATGTACTAGTAGCATCTATCGATCTATTGGGGGATGTGAAGTTGTGAACACTGAACAAAAACCCAAAGAACGCAATGAGAACGTTGGGCAAATGGTAGTGCAATGCACTCAATCGTATGGCCCATGGATAATAGAACTATATGTGCATGTCTCTTTCCATTGCCTGAACTTCTTTTCAAATCTTTTTGCTTTTGTATTTCACATTCCAAAACGGTTCAAATTAAAACGTGAAGGTTCCATGATTGGATCAGCCAACAACCACTAAAGAGAAAAAGGGAGGGGCATCGGTACTGTGAGCGAACATGGCGCCAGCTTCCATAGCTCTCTTATGGGAAGCCCAATGATGCATGCATCATGCATGAGCTATTCCAAAGGAGAAATGCTGGAGAGACTAGCAGATGGATGACACTGTTGTTTCTCATAATTACACAACTACACGAGATCCGATTGATATCCAAGCAACAATTGACATGGATGTAACACCACAATGCTGGTAATGTGAGAGTTAGCAAGGACATATGATGTATTTTTGTTCATACGGCACCGTCATACTACGTATTTGATGGTATTTCAGCGCCGACCGGCCTTGGCACCAACCGCGACGTTTACACCTGACGAACGAACCCACATTCGATTAGTTGACGGTTCACGATCCCGGTGAGCTCTGCAAGAATCAGTACAGGTCTTCGAGTGGAGCAGCTGGGTGTTGGAGTTGGGAGCTAGCGTCATTTTCTTCAGTGGAACGTGGCGTCAGAACTCTGAATGCGAGATGCTGTTTCATTAAGAGGTGATCGAACTTCCTCTTGACGATTGCGTCTTAACTCTTAACCCACCATTCAGCAATCTACATCACTACTAAGCTCTACCATTTCCGGGCCAAGTAGCATGTACGTGTCACGAGTTATGCCATTTCTTCAAGGAAAATAGATGTGCCATTTCTTACATGAAAAAGTCCATACATACTTTTTTTTTCCTCACTAACACTACATGTCATGATGTGAATACATCTTGTCTATAACTTCCATCTAGTTAAATCAAACAGCTCATATCATTGTTTGTAAAGAGTTATGTTAAAAAGAAAGTTAGTACGTATAGCAGTGCTCTTCTTACATTATTAGCATTTCCAGGGGCAATTGTTATCAGAAGAAGCAGCATTATCAGCCGAAGAACAAGACAAAACAAAAAGTTCAAGATTTCTGCCGTCTTCTGCCCAAGGATGATTACAGTTTTAGTTGGAGGCCCACGACGTGCACAGCACGCTCAATGATCGAGAGCATCCTGTGCTCATGGGGTACAGGCATTCAGCCCAACCCACAACATATATTTTTCTTTTTTCTTTTATTCAGTAGCAGCAGCTTGATGCATACACTACATTCTACAGGTACAAGTACAAGCTCTCAGAAAAAAAGACCATAGCGCAAGGCACTGTGTTGCAGGAATACACGGATCCATGTTCATGGCATTTTGATAGTAGTAACAGCACTGGGCACATCATCTTCTGAAGCGACTGATGAGATGACACGCTGGTGCTCACGTTCATAGCTGTCTGTATGTACAACATCAGCAGAACTCGACAGCTCCAAGCTTCCTATTTCTCAGGGGGTCTGCACAATATAAACACTCCAGGCTCAGAATTGTCTTTCAATGAAGTTTTTTTTTGACGGAAAAAAAAAACTTCATTGAAAGAATTGTCTTTCAATGAAGTTGAAGATAAGCAAAGCTTATTCCAGATGCAGTTTAGAATGTTAGATTTCATGTCCTGATCTCTTATAACTCCAGGTGCACACTGTATAGTGGGATAAGGTGTTTTGGGACATGAATTTGGAGTCTGGATCAGCAAGGGGCCTTGCCAGTTGCCACACAAAAAACAGTAATATCACATCAAGTTACCTCCTCTTTTTTATTTGGTTGTAAATGCACGCTATTGGGCTACGTATCCACCAAGCTGAACAGTTCTGTACTGTTATGTCTACTTTAAAACACTTAACATAGTTTAGCATTTTTACAACAAACAACACTGTTGCAATGCCAGGTGCTGGTGCATATGGCAATTTTACTTAAGTCATATCACAAATGCACAACAATTGGAGTATAGGACAAGGAGAAAGTAGTGATAGTAAGCATTTTCTTGGAGAATGTGAAACAACTTACCCCTGCTAAAGTGATGCAAACAAATTAGCTTTCCTCTTCATCAGTTTGAGTAGCAACTTTTCTTGAACTCTCCACTGGATGAGAAAATTTCCCTTTAAACAGAAGTAATTAATCTGATTAGGAAGTATTCAACATAATGCTACGTGTAGAGAAAAATCATTTAGGTTCCAATACTAAAGGTTCACAATGTACACACATGGAGAAGATATAAACTGAAAACCTGAAATCTACCCAACCCAGCCATAGGTAAACTCAGCCCATATACACAAAACTCCCCAAGCATGAGGCCCACCCAACAACTGCTGGTTCAAGACAATCTGAAACACATAATGTTAGCAACTCAGTATTTCTATCTATTCTAGACCATGCACAATTAGGGCATGAACACTCAATATTTGCAAGAAAACGAATCATATAGGGCATGAACAATTGAACCCAAACTATATATGTAGCAACCCAGTCATAAATTCTAAAATCAGTTCAACCTAAACTTACCAACACAATGTTCTTTAGGCTCATTTTAACTCGTCAGTCATCGCGTACAGCCGTACAAACTATTAGAAAGTGCCTGTTATAAGTTCAGTTCTGCCAAAACAACAAGCTGAGTGCTCCTGTTACTGAGGTAATTACAGAATCTACATTTGGAAGGAAGAAATTCTGATGCCTCATGATATGGTTATGTATAACTGACATTGAGATTAGTTAGTAACTCTCACAAACAAATATTAATGCAGAGAAATCCAGGTTTAGCATCTGCATGAATCAAGTGGATGGAAGATTTACTGGAACCTCTGTCTAAATTGTTTTGAATTAACTAGTACTAAAATAGTTGTGGATCAAATTTGCGAAGCCAAACTAGGTGTAGAGTTTTCTTCCTGTCAAGCTCATGAAGGAAAAGGAGTACTAGTAAGATGAACCAAAAACTATTAGAACCATGGTTCATACATGACACTCCAAAGCCAAAATAAACTACTAAAATACAGTAATACTCTAATTTCAACCTGCAAATGAGGGGAAGGTAATCCATGTACAGTTGTTTCATACTTCAACTATTCACTATACTCTCAACCTAAACAATCATGAATCCCCAATGCTTCACCAATCAAACAAACACCCGCGGTTTGCTCCTAACCAAGGCTACTTACAGAAAAACAACGCAACAACTTCCATTTCGCAATCCAAACAAAATGCTAAATACCTTTACAACTTCCATTTCGCAATCCAGAAATGCTAATTGCCTAATTCGATCGAACTCAACTCACCTTCGACGAAGTAAGCCTCCGACGGCCACCCGCGCATGGTGGTGAGGCACATCATCTCCTCCTCCGTCATCGCCTCCGCGTTCCAGGCGGCGCCAATCGCGCTGCGGACGGCGGTGCCCACGAGGTCGGCGGCGACCCCGCGCCGCATCTCCGGGACCCAGTAGGATCCTCCCGGCACGAAGGGGAGCCACTCCGGCGCCGCCCGCCGCACGAGTACCCCGTGGATGGCGTCCTCCAGTCGCCGCATCCCCATCTCCCGCGGCCCGAAGCCGCCCCCCTCGACGCCGGACGAGGACGACGAGGAGGGGGCGTCCTCCGACGACAGGTCGATCTCGATGAACTCCACCTTCGATGAGACACCACGGACATGGAGGCGGCCGTAGGAGGGCACCGCGGCGGAGTCCGCGCGGGCCAAGGCTAGGGTTCGCGAGAGGAGGCGAGCCATGGCTGAGAGAGAGAGAGAGAGAGAGAGAGAGCGGGAGAAGCAGCCGCGGATGGAAGAGTCGAGACGGAGAAGAGGAGGAAGAAGTAGAAGAGACTCCCCTAACTATGTGCAGTGTCACTGACATGTGGGTCATACAAAAGTGGGGCCCACAAGTCAGTGGAACAACTGCAGACCGCACAGAGTGAAGGGATCTGTTTCCCGGAAGAAGAAGACGAAGAAGATATATCCGGTGGGAGATGGGCCCACATGTCAGTGACCAAATGGATGGCGCTTGCTATGGCTGAAAGGGTGGTCCCACCGGTCAGTGGCTATTAGGGAGAAATTGGTCAAGCGACGTGAAAGTCTACCCGGCTCCCCTGATCGGACGGTCCGGGTTCTTCCAGTGACGTGGATTATGGAATCTGGGCCGTCCATCCACAGAAGAAGTGGATCCTTTGGGTGGGTCAGATCGAACCCGCAGAACACCGAGCTCGCTCTCGCGGCGTCTCCCATGGCGGAAGCCGACGCGCAAACCCAGAGCCGCGCCCACTCCTCGACGGCGGCGCCGGTGGCGGGGGAGACGGCCGGCGAACCAGTCGGGTTTCCCCAGGTTAGTGATCTTCTTCCTTTCCCTTTTCTTTTCTGTCTGGGGTTCACCGCGTGGAACTGTAGTTGGGAAGACCGGTTCTTGTTCGATGGTGCCTAGATTTAGTGGGGATTCGGGGGTGGTGGTGGTGGTGGTGGGAGTTGGGATTATATGACAGGTGATTTGTCGGAAAGGTGGGATATTTGGGGGTTCTTATGGGTGTTTTGGCTCGTCCAAGTTGGAAGTTTGGTCGAGGTTTTGATGCAGTTGGGTGCATAATTGTAAACCCCTTTTAGTCTCCGATTGTGTTAGATTCTTGCAACTCGGATCGGATCGTTTTGATGTAATTGGTAGAGACTATTGTATCGGGGGAAAAATATTTGTGGTTATTGACTAGTATGATGATTATATTCATGTTGCTGCTGATGATGATAATGCAGAATGGCGCTATAAATGGGGCTCCTTTGATGTTTCCGGTGATGTACCCTATGCTTATGACGGGTATGCATCCTCAGCAGAGCCTGGATGATCAGGCTCAGGGTCCAGGGATCTATGCCATACAGCAGAATCAATTCATGGGGAGTACTCTCATGCCACTCACTTACAGGATTCCAACGTAAGCTTTTTCCTCCTAATCCTGAGCAATCTGTTACGGCATACGAATTCACTGCCTAGAATCTCGAGCATTTGTTTCACATGCCTTCACCATAATCAACATGATAGTAGGGAGGAAATCTGGAACAAAATTAGAAAGGGTTTTGAGATCGGGATGCCTAGTTTTTTTTTTCGGTAGGGCTTTTTGTAAGTAAAGTAAGAGCAGCGACTACTACAAACACAAAGCTCTTTTCACGGGTGACAATATCTTAAGGTTTTCATTAAATTATACTTCATCTACCTTATTGTCCTATTGGCAACCCATGAATTGACGAAAATATTCATGAGTTCCTTATATGTCATGCTGCTTTATCTATGAATTTACTTTGATTAATGCCCAACTCAGCAAATTTGTATACAGAAGCTCATGCGTCTGTGGTTATGAACCACAGCACATGCTGAAGAACTCCATTCATCTGCCTTATGTTATGAGATATGTTGATGCCAAAATGAGATATTGATGTTTAACCTTATTCCTCAAATGTAGATACATTCTTGCCTTCTATACGATGCCATGAACTTTCCATTACTATCTGACTTGGTTAATAATGAGTGACAGCTCAAAAGTTTAAATTTATTGCCCATGTTAGTGAATCCTAAAATCTACTCCGTACCTTTTTTGAGAGAACAACTAAACCTTTGCTGTTTCATAATATGTTTATTGCCTTATCATGCTGATTTGGGGGTTCCTAGAAATGGTGCAGAACATTAATGTGCGTTCCACAAAGTTAGTAGTGAGTTTATTCTTTCCTTGCTTATACCATCCTTTGTATTGTTAGGGAAAGTGTCGGTGCTGTGGCTGGTGAAGAGCAAGCACAGGATGCTAGGCAACAACATGGCCCTCAGAGACAAGTTGTTGTGAGGAGGTTTCACTTTGCTTTTCAGCTTGACTTGGCCCTGATCATCAAGTTAGCAGCAGTTGTCTTTCTGTTTAGCCAGGAAGGATCAAAACAAAGGCTGTTTCTTCTCATACTGTTTGCCTCAGTGATTTACTTGTGAGTGCCCTGCTTACTTCCTTGCCCAATCGCTTTTTTTGACTTGTTTTGTTTAGTTCATTGTATGTCGTTACATTTGGGTTGTTCCATCTCTTGCAGATATCAAACTGGCGCAATTACACCTTTACTAAGATGGCTGCAGCGAGCAGGAGGTGCTGCTGCTCGTCCTCCACAGGCTCCAGCTCGCCCAGAGAATCGTGCTCCGCTAGCTGCCCAGAATGATGGCAATGTTCAACCGCCTGGTAGATATCTTAAACTACACTTCAATATTGTACTATATCCTACTGCATCATTGCAACCACCAGATTCACCGTTTGACCATGTAGACATTGTAAAAAAAATTTCTACTGCTGCCAAATCCTTAATAGAGGTTTATACTGTTAGTTTAAAGCACTTCTAAAAACTTGGATGGTATAAGAACATATAGATATTGCAAAATAATGTTACAAATACTTAAAATAGGATGGATGTTTAGTCCACCTGTCTTGTTGATCCCTTGGTTTGTGTAATGGTGCCTCCTAGATTCCTAGTCTAATATACCAGGCTATTTTCTGATTGTCAGGCAATATTGAGAAGTTATATTTCTCATTCAAGATTTAACGGGCAGCATCTAGTGATATTTCACATTTAGCAGGCATTATAAAATAATATTCATTCTTTTTGAAGTGACAATATATGTTTGTTCTTATAAAATATCATTTTGCTTCTCAGGGGGAAATCTTGCAGACCCAGCAAACAATGACCAAGCTGCAGAGAACCAGGAACCAGGGGCAGCAGCTGCTAATGAGAACCAGCAAGAAGTCGATGGAGAAGGGAACAGGCGCAATTGGCTTGGAGGCGTCTTTAAAGAGGTCCAATTGATTGTTGTAGGGTTTGTTGCATCACTTCTCCCTGGCTTTCAGCACAATGACTAGAGCTAATCCCATCACTGCCTAATCTTCCATTGGCAATGTAACTGTTTATTGTGAGATAGGCGTGAACAGAAAAATGGTACAAAGCAGCACAAAGAAGAGTTTGTTATAGAACAAAAAATGGTGGCGTTGTTAATATTGTTTTCTTCCAAGTGCTATTGTTATATTTTGTTTCTAATGCGGCATGAGTATATGACTTGCTGGGAGTTACCACTTTCACTATCTAGAATAATATGACTATATATGACTTGAAGAACTTGGGTCTTTCCATGGGCAGAAGTATGTATATTCTGCAGCCGTCAACAGACCGTATGTAAAATGTGATTGAACTGTTTGTATGTGTTGGTTGTTGATTGTCATGTCCTAGCAGATATGACCGTATGAGGTTTGATTTGCTACTCACCACAAGAATCTATAATCTTCTGTTGTAAATTCTGCTAAACATGATATAGCTCGATTTTATAACATACTTTTCGCTTTCAGGACTAACACAAAGCCACCATTTTGCACTGAGCGGTGGAACATAGTGAAATGCTGTAAACTGTCCGTCTGTTGATCTTCTTGTAAAGCGTTTTCGTTGCTTTGTGCTCACTTGGAGTGCAATTGAAAGCATTGTACATGAATAGCAGTTTCGCGAGTATAAGCAGAACAAAGATTTGTCTAAACTGCTGAAAAATTGATATATGGGAGATCTCTGCGCTATACAATCTACGGACTACAATGCCTATACGCTGCATTGATTACAACCAATGTTCGACCCTCTGGTGTGCCTTTGTTGTAGAATCAGTGAATCACCAAGCAAAAATGCGCCGTGTGCTCCAAGCCTCCAAATCTGACCAAGCAGACAAATATGTAAGTAATTTGTTTTGTGCATGTAGTGGTCTTAAGATGAATGCTAATACAAATATGAATTCATGACCACTATAGTCTACACCTGAAAGCTGATGCGTTTATGAATTACGATCTCCATGTCCTGCACTTCCAATTTTCCATCTGTTCAAGTGCGCAACATGACGCCAATGCAACTCAATTCTAGTGGCTAGTGGTGATACTTCTGTCCTTTGATTATAGTCCATGCCCTGCAAAAAAATGACCCCTAGTGAATAGTTGATATCAGAATTAACAGGACTATCCGCTGATAGATATGCATGAACATGATTACTCACAGATAGATCATGTGTTACATCGATCTATCTTATTTGGAATGTTCCATGGTTGTACCTGCCTAACGCCATTTGGTGCGTAGATTACCCAGCACTAAAGAGTGGCCCCATTGGAATTATCAAAGCATATTCGGTGATGGATGGAGAGGCTCATTGCTCACCTGTAGAGCTGCTCCATTAGAACTATCAAGGCAACTTGATGATTCAAAACCATTGAGGATAGTCTAATTGTTGCATCTGCACGCTCTCGCACTTGTAGCCCAAAACCATACGGTCCACCAATACAAAATGTGAGCCTTGACGACCCCTAAAACGTTTGAAGAACACACATTACTGAAACATGGTATCCCTCAAAATTTCCAGCAGGTTTGAACTTTTAACACAAATATGTATAAAAATTTATGAATCAAGGTACAGAGCGTACCGTGTTCCCAGCATCCCCGACCAGATCAGCTACCTGCTCAGACGTGACATCCTTCCCGTTTTCATCCAGCACAACCACCTAAATATGCACATCAATGTCAAACCACTAATACACAGATAACGAAAACTACAAGATGAACTACATATGATCTCTAGAATATAAGGAGGTACTGAAACATACGAAGTCTTCAGGCTTGAGCTGCAGCATCATTGCCATGTCTTCTGCCTCCACTTGCACCTTAACATCACTGAAAGGAAAAAGAAGAACAGAGGTCAGCATCAGTGATCAACTTCTTAACAAAAAATAACTACTCCCTCCAGTAAAATATATTTGACTTTGAGAGAACTAAACTCAATTCTACCAACGTCAATGGAATGATGTGTAAAGCTACCAATCAAAACCCTTTCTACTAATATCTAGGACTATACAATATAAACAGCGTTTGGGAATGAATATGAATCGACTATAGAGTATCCTACCTTGTGAGTTTTGGGTTGGATTTGATAAGTGTGTCCTCAATATCACAGTAGTAACCAAGCTTCTCCTTGTATTCTTCAACAATGAGCTGTGCCCCTCGAGACCTCTTCTTTCCAACTGTTAGCACACGCATAGGCATTGCTCTCTTCAAACATGACCACAAGAGATATCAAACACCAAACATTATTAGACATTCATCCGTTGCTTTTGCTATGCAATTCATATGGAGAATATATTACGAAAACTATGTATTTGGCAGAAGGTTTCAACCCCTTCAGATTTCTCTAATTCATTTAATTGATGGGAAAATTAGTTCTGTGACATGGAAAGCACTTTCAGAAAAAATGTTCAGATATAGTGCTGAATCTACTGATACAAAATCCTTGTTTCAGAAGCAGTTTCCTGTTGTTCTCGCCTATATATGTCCACTAAGATCAGCCAGCAGCCTCCAGCTTTCGAGGAATTAGCAAGTACGCAGTGACCAATAAAAGCGAAAACTAAATACTTATAATTGAGAAGAAACGAACATCAAAGGGGGGAATTTTTTGCACTCCTTACCACTGATTGTGCCGAGTACTTGGATCTCTTGTCTGCACACACCCAAAGTAAGAGTAGGAACCTTAGCTCAGAATTATCAAAACCACCACAAAATCCATGATAAATTAAGCATACACAAAACAATCTAAGAAATAGGAATTCTAGGACAATTAGACACTTAGACTCGCGATAGCAAAATGGTGAAGAAAAAGTTGGAGCGGGGAGGTACTGCACCAGGAGAAGAAGGTGCCGGTGCGCCTCTGCTCTTTCCGGGGGAGCGGCTGACCCCACAGCGGCAGCTCCACGGCGACACCGCCATCGAGGAGACGAGAGACCCGCGAGCTCGAGGGGACGCCCCCTCGCCGTGGATGAGGAGAAGAACAAGACGGTTTTTCCAAGAAGGCGTTTTCCTTCTCGAGAGGCGACTTTTCGACTGTACAGGTTCTGTCTCCATAGAGTACGTTACTGCAGGCCGGAGGCGGCATATCCGCTATACTGATGCACTTGGAAGTTTGGAACAATCTTGACCTCTTAATTGAGATCTGACGGTGCTCGTAGATCCAAAAGTGTTCCGTTACCAATAGTTGCCTACAAAAATGTTGAAACCTTCTGGCAAATACAGTATATACTAGGAGCAGCAATTTCATTGCAGGGTTCACCAAAAATCCATAACCATGCTCATTAGTCTGGACAATTTAACCATCACATTAATCACAAAAACTACAAACATTTTGTCATTTTGATTGGAAATGACAATACAATCTCTAATTCGGAGGTCTGAAGAACACTACTAGCCAACATGACCTCTGAATTTTACAACAGAATACAGTATTGTACACACAAACATATTGTCGTAGCATCAGTGCTATGGTGCTACCCTCTTGTGGTCTCAAAGGACATGATGGTACAAACATTGCCTGCTGCCCTCATATCATCGTCTCATGAAGACGAAGAGCGAGCCTCTTGATCCTTTTCCCAGCCTGATCTTCTCGTCGACATAGGTGATCTCCAGCTTAACTTCGCTCTCGCCACCATACTGAAACCCCAGGGAGCCTACCTTCACTTCTGGTGGCTCGAATATGACCTGAATCCACTTACCATCCAGCACATTCAGCTTGCCTGTCATGCCCAACATAACAAGAACTTCATGAGATCACATTCAGTATTGCTGTGCAGATTTGTCACGCCCAGTCTGAATAGAGAATGAGTTGACAGATGGTGTCTGTTTTTTACCTTTCAGAGATACCGCACCATCGAAACCAAAGACAGAGAAGGACACCTTGTTTTTTACAACATCAGGCGCTTGCACCACCTGAGCCATCTCATCGGTTTTGAATATCAGGCGGCCGAGAGGAGTCCGGTAGAGCCCTCCCGGTGATGTCGGTACTGAGCAGTACACAACCTCCCACTCTGGTAGGTCAGGTCAAGTGCAATAAGCAAGAAAATTAGTCAGGATGGCATGAGGTTTACAGTGTTGTAATACAACCCAAACCTCAATGTAATGCTCGTTGTTACTTTACTGGTTGTCAGTCAGTGACACAATCAATTTTGGAGATATTATTTGGAGAATTGGGGCAATTTCACTCTTTCAATACCTCCAAATATTAGTGGAGACTTGACAGGATCGTCTATGCAGTACTTGGCAAGCTGTAGTGCGACATCAGCAACTTCCTGATGCCCATCTTTGGGCAGCAAAACTCCACGGTCAGTTCCCTTCACCTGTTGATATCATGTTAAGGCAATTAAGACATCAAATTAACATGATGAATTGCTGACGGAGGTTTACTTGCACGAGTCTGATAAATAAAAAATATATATATACAAGAAACTGAAAATGACAGAAGGAAAAAGGTAAGTAATTGGAAACCAATAATAAGGAATATTCTCCAGGATTTATACAAAAATCCGAATTTTTTTGGTGTAAGATAAGAAAAAACTAATTGAGGTTAAAATTAGTACTATGGAACACCAGAACTCGTTAATTTCTGAGTCAAGAAATGTGTTCTAATGTGGAGTACAAGATTGCATAAACCGAGCACTGAGCAGAAGCTAGGAATCCGGAAAGAGTGCACCCAAGAAGAGCAGAGAGATGATGTTTCAGCATCACCTTGGAGAGGATGGAGTCGATGAGCTCAGGCGGCGCCCGGAGACCCGGCGCTGCGGCGAGGGAGCATCGGACGGGCGTGGCGCACCGGCGGCGAGGCCGCCGGAGAGCGGCGGCCGATGGAGGTGCGGCGGAGGAGAAGCGGATGTGCGTGGGCGCCGCAGAAGCCGACATTTCCTTCTGTGTCTGTGTGTGGTGATAAGCTGATAGCTGAAGCCTGCCTTGCCTATTTCTTTTGTTTAAAAAAAAAAGAATATTCATGCAGATTTTTTTCTGAATAATTTGAAATCATTTCCCTGTTTTTTTAAAGAAAAAACTGGAGCTCGGAGCATGCCACGAGATATTCAATTAATTTATAGATATATGGATTATTCGTTCTACACTAAAGTATGATTTTTCTTTTAAAAAAACTTTTTACATCAATACATAGCACTACTTCCGTTTTTTAATTGTATGATTGACTTTTTAGATATGGTTGTCCATTGTCTTATTAAAAAAATACAATTATTATTTATTTTATTATCATTTGATTTATTATTAAATGTTCTTTGAGTATGATTTAAATTTCTTTATACTTGTATATAAATTTTAAATAAGACGAATGGTTAAATGTTTATTAAAAAGTCAACGGCATCATAATCAAGATAATACTACCTCCGTTTTTTAATAGACGACGCCGTTAACTTTTTCTCACATGTTTGACCATTCGTCTTATTCAAAAATTTTATACAAATGTATAAGATATAAATCACACTTAAAGTACTATGAGTGATAAAAGAACTCATAACAAAATAAATTATAATTACGTAATTTTTTTTGAATAAGACGAATGGTCAAACATGTGAGAAAAAGTCAACGACGTCATCTATTAAAAAATAGAGGGAGTATATTTTAAGCTATTTTTTAATTTATACACAATATTTGATTTATTTTTAAGCAATCGTGACTAATCTGTCCAACCATCCTGTTAGAAAGCGTTGTCCAATCATCCCGTTAGAAAGCGTAGGAATGTGTGAGTCAGCGCGAAACATGAACAATTGGGATAAGACAAAGGTTTGCCAAAGCTTTATGGATAAATCAATAAAAATGGGCCTCAATAATGACTTCTCCCCTAGTTATACAATAAGCTTCATGTACATGACAGAATCTGCAGCTAGAAATCAAGAGAAATAGGCTAGCAAAAAACAAGGTGAACCTAAAGAAATTTGTATTCAGGAGTGGCAATGGCCTGACCGTGGAGATCTGAACCACCCTAATGCTGCGGCGTATGCCTTCTCCTCTCCCTATTCCTATACCAGCTATTGTTAATAAATCTGCTGTTCTCTTCCAATTTACAAAGATTCCTGTAACAGAATATCTCCTATATATCCACTAGTATGGAGGAATTTTTTTAGTGTAGGGTACCCATGCAACTCTGCAGAACTCAAAAACGGGTGTAATTTGAGAATGAGTTCATGAGGCGGTTTATGGATTCAGGGTAGAACTTTCTCGCAAACAAGTAACACGGTCTCTTCACTCCATTCCATAAGCAAGGCCTCTGCGTAACCACTTTCTGCACAGGCATGCAAAATGCATTAGTGCCTTTTATGAATCACAAAAAGTATGTTGGGTAAAAATGTATTTCATATAGAGAACGGTGACACATGGAAGATGGAAGGAAAGAGATCATTTGAACAGTGGATTGGCATTTATCTAAAAAAAAAATACAAGCCTAGTAGGAGTATCTTTATTTGGTGGTTTGCTGACTTTAGGACTAGAGAACCACAGGGGAATAGCACCCTTTTTTCTAGAAACTGCTAATTTTGCATAGCAATTACAAATTTACACTAGGTTAATAATGTAACTAACACGATCTCAGGTGCTCAGAAGCATAATCAATTTCACATAGCCATTTCTAGAGATAACACCTTCCTACTGTCGATATGTAAAATAGCCTAAATTCATGTGGATCATAAGTCATAGACAAAGTATCAATGAACAAGTATGGGAATTAACTACCAAAATATATGACTTTCAAAAGATATAAAATAAAGCTAATACACATGTCAATTGACTGCAAAATAAAGATACAAAATATAGATAGATAGATAGATAGATAGATAGATAGATAGATAGATAGATAGAGAGAGAGAGAGAGAGAGAGAGAGAGAGAGAGAGGTACCTTGCTATCGCTGGTGATATGGTAGCTCATGTCAATTGACTGCAAAGAAAAAGATCACAGTGTTAAAAGTAAGATTATGAATTATGCTATTATATTATTAATGATAAACAGTAATACGAAGAACATACTGTTATATTCTTCAGAAGCTCGTATGTAACATCATTTGCCCGATAAGCTTTCGGATGCCACTTCCCTTCAGACCAGTCAACATGAGTCACAGACCAGTTGGCAATTCCATTTGGATCTATCATCTGGTTGACACAAATACAAGTACACAATATAAAAAGGCTGCAGTGGATTTTACGGGATGATGTAATTACTCATTCCTTTAAAAAAATAGAGTAAATTTCAAAAAACTGTAATTATTTGGTTAATTAAAGCTATTACTTGCTACTCCCTCCGTTTCGAAATATTTGACACCGTTGACTTTTTAGCACATGTTTGACCGTTCGTCTTATTCAAAAACTTTTGTGAAATATGTAAAATTATATGCCTACATAAAAATATATTTAGCAATGAATTAAATGATAGGAAAAGAATTAATAATTACTTAAATTTTTTGAATAAGAGGAACGGTCAAACATGTGCTAAAAAGTCAACGGCGTCAAACATTTCGAAATGGAGGGAGTACAACTTTAACTCGGTATTTCACAAAACTGCAACAATAACAGACAGTTTTATCAGAAAACTCCAATTCTGTCCTCTACATGTGTATGACATATGAGCCCGATTGCAACAGCATGAGTACTTTATTTGTGTATGATATGTGGGCCCAAACTTGTCAAATATAGAAAATTGCAGCATTCTGATAAAATCAGATGCTATTGATGCGACAAACTAGTAGTACTCCCTCCGTTTCAGGTTATAGTTTCAAGTTATAAGATGTTTTGACTTTGGCTAAAGTCAAAACTGTTTTAAGTTTGACTAAGTTTATAGAAAAAAATAGTAATATTTTCGACCCAAGATAAATTTATTATAAAATATATTTAATTATTAATTTAATAAAACAAATTTTGTAATGTAAATATTACTATATTTGTCTATAAACTTAGTTAAACTTAAAGTAGTTTGACTTTGACCAAAGTCAAAACATCTTAAAACCTAAAACGGAGGAAGTAGTTTTTTAAATTTACTAAAAAAATATATAATTTTTCAACATGTAACAGGGTTAAATTTCATCATATGAAGTCAATTTGTGTACTGACATGGAATAGTGTTGGCAAATAATGCTCGTCAGCATAGCAGTTGCGACCATCTTCCATCCCAGGCTGCAAAAGAGCAAAGAATAGATCATCATTCATCAGACATGTTGCACAACGGCGCCAATATTTGCAGCAGACAACACAGAGTCTCTAAGTTATTATTATGGTAAACTATGGAAAAAGAGCCGCACTAAAAATCCATCTGCGTTATCAAAGTACAATAATTCTTAGCAATTCATAAAGATCAACACAGATGCACACAAACACCTATAGGGCCTATAAAAGGTAACAGTTGCCTTTTAGATTCAAAACTTGCACAGACGAATATTAAGTGCAACCTCACGGTAAAAGATAATTCAATAACATATATAACTGCTCAAGAAAAAAAATAACACACTATAACGTCTAAATGACAAACATCAAAGGTCAAATTACAGGGGAATAAGTACAGAGATATAGAGGAACATAACTCTGAAGTTTAACAAAATTGTATAGTATAAATCAAGTCTAGCACACAGTGCATATATTCCAACCTTAATAGGCTTATGTGACAATATCTGCAGATACGCTTTTAAAAATTGGGACCTTACCTTACAATGAAGCTTGAACTTAGTATAGTAAAGACTGTCCGCAATTATCATCAATGCATGCTGACGCTTGACTGAGAACCACTGAAATATTTAGAACAGTTGTTCAAATGCATTCTTTCATGTGACAACAATTATTGGCAAAACAAAATAAAAGAAAATATAGGCACAAACCACTTTTTTTTTTGGCAAAGATAAAACATCAAAACGGTAACTATTTTGCTCAAGTTGAAATGGCATTGAACCAAAGATATCTAAGGAACTTCCATAAAAAAGAGGATATCTGAGGAATAATTCATTAAAAGTTTAAAGTTCAGAAAACAAAAGTTGGCATCTTGAAGAGTCTATTTAAAGAAAAGGATATGATCTAGAAAGTGAGGACAACACCATGAAAAATTAGATTGTATTAGAAATGAACAGTAAATAGCCCATTAACATGCAAGCGAGAATTTTAAGCTTACCTGTGAACCCTTCCTGAAGTCACTCTCTCTAACTTCAGGTAACATATGTTTAGAATATCTAAAATTTCCATGTGGTCCAGGATCATAAAAGCTGACCAAGGAAATAAAGGAGAGCGTAAGCAGTATTAATAATGACTATAAAGTTACTCGTCACTGACAGTATATATGAAAATGGAATATAAGAAACTTTGCTTACAATGTCATCCCATGTTTAAGTCAGTGTAAGAGTTAACATGTGAATACATAAACGGAAGTTGAGATAAATCCTCAAAATAATTGGAAAAGAAACTGACTTACGAATCAATAAAACTGATATTTGTTCCTATCAGGTAGTTATACACATAATCAAAATTGTGCAAAGGTACACAGCTGTAAAAAAACACAAAAACTGATATCAGATAAATTTTTTCATTAAAGATAATGGGATTAGTTCAAAACAGGATTTGTTTTATACCTGTCAGAGAGTAACACAAAATGCTGATTGTCAACGTCTTCCAGTGCATTTGCCAACAACCTTCTCTCTGCATCAACCATGGAAATCTTACCCCATACCACCTGCAACAAAAAGTAAAACAATGGCACCATCACCTACAGCTTCAAATCACTACGATAAGCTGAAAGTAATCTTCATTTTTATAATGCAAGCTGTTAATCTTCATGAGCGCCGTAAAATTGTATAATACCTTTTCACTGCGTATGTCTCGATCAATAAATAAGGGACTGGCATGTTCTGGTTTCTCCCTTGAGGCATGAACATATATGGTATATCTTCCCTCATGACCCTGCGGAAACAACAAGAGAAGACATGGTGAATTAGCACTCAGCAAAAAGAGGTGGCACAAGAATTAGGATATCCTTTCAATATTAGTAGTTCTGGGCAATAAACATATACAAAAGAAAAGTCAGAGAAAGTGATAGTATAAATGTTGACAAAATGAATGCAATTCTACATAAGCTTAATTATCATGAAAACCCCACTTCTAAATCTTGCTTCTTAGCTAGGTGCAAATGGGCATGCCCGTAATACTAATTACAGCATCAACTTAGAAATTTCAGTGTGCTTCAGTCTTTTTGATGCAGTATGCCGGATGAGAACCCAATCACAGATGTAGTAGAAGAGAAGTGATAACGAACCTCAAAAAATTTCTCCCATAATCTTTCAAATGGCAATGTACCAGGAGTTAAGAACATGAAAGCAACTTTTGATCTCTTCGACTTAACAGGAGGTGTTGATAGGATCTGTTTGAAAACAACTTGTGAGGCTCTCTCTTGATCCGTCAATTCCCTGACAGGCTCTGCAGGTAACCAATCTCTCATAGGAGACGTATAATGCTGGGGTGGATAGAGATAAGCCCACAGTGTTACAATGGAGACGAAAGCTACAACAAGTATGCACAAATGTTTTTTCGGAGAAGTTCGTCCGCGAGGGAGAGGAGCAGACTTCATATCCTTGATAGGTAACTGCCACAATTGGTGTGCCTTCATCTATTAAATCTTCACTGTGAAGGCTTGACTCCCATTACCCTAAGATTTTACCAGCTTTTCCTGCAATTCAGAGCTAGAATTGAGGGGGGACACCTCTTGCTACTATCAGTTCTTCTGCAAAATGAATAAAAGGTGCTATTGTGAAAATGTTGTTCCCATGTTACAAAAAGATGGGAGATACTTTGTCTGGTTTTTCTCCATCTTTTGTGTCTTATTAATATTTACCGATGAAAGCTAGTTACAGTTTGGTTCAGAATTGTTGACACAACAGTAAAGGGGCATCAGATTACATGAGTTTTGGTATTCAACAGACGATAACCTCTTTTTTTTTTGCTCCACTCAATGGTGTTGGAACATTAAGAAGCTTGTTTGACGAATGTACCACTTAAACAGCAGTAAAAAAAAAAGGATCTTTGTGGTCCAACATGGAAAGCATGGGTGCTAGTAGATCATAACAAGAAACATAACAAGAACGACAAGGTATGACGAATGCATCACTTAAACAGCAAAAAAATAAAAAATAAAAAAATCGATCTTTATGATCCAACACGGAAGAAGGCATGCGCTATCTATCATAACAAGAAGATAAGCTTTAGCCAAAAAACAACACACTATTAAGGAGCGGACCTGACATGGGAAATTTTACAAATTGCTAGTATTAGTGCTGCACCACGTACAGGAAAATCGGGAACAGAAGGTTAATAATTGGAGGGAGGGGCGAAAAAATAAACCCAATCTCAATCCAAGCCCAGATGGATATCAAAATCTACAGCACGATGAGCGCGGAGGGGAGGGAGGGGAAGGATGGGCTACGAGAGAAGAACAACGAACGAATACCTTCAGCTCGAATTCGAACCGAGATGGGAGGGCCGCCGGGGCAGCGGCGCAGGATCGGACGCCGCACGCCGCGCGGGCGGAGGAGATCCCAGAACCCGCGACCAAAAGGATGGGAATCGAAATCGAACCGAACCGAATCGGATCAAACGGAAAAAAAGGCGAATCGCTCGGTGAATCCGCCGCGAGATCCACACAAGCCCCTTCCCCCCAACAAGCCGACGCCGATCAAAGCTAGCTACAATGGCGCGCAGCTTAGCTCGGGCTCGGCGCGAGAGAGGAGTCGGAAACCGATCGCGAATCTGCCGGGGAGGGTTTATATCGAACGCGGCAACGCTGCCCCGCCCCTGCGACCGCGACGAGTAAACGGAAGAAAAGGAAATAAAAAAACCGCCTCTTGTATTTTACTATATGACGGCTAGATTTTATTTTCTTTTTTTTTTTTACAAAACTCTGGCTCCGTTCTCTGCTGCACCTTCCGACTCTCGTTTAATCGTTTATAGAAAATCTGAAAACAAATTATATTAATTTAATTTTAAGTATTTTATTATACTTAATTAATCATGTGCTAATTCAGTTTCATTTTAGGTGTTAAAAAAAAGGAAAATTGGAACCATGCCATTATAATTTTGCAAAATTTGAGATATGTCATACTGACCCATTGTGGGTTCTACATGTCATTGACTCATGTGGGTTCTACATGTCATTGAGATACCGATGACATATCTCAAACTTTGCAAAATTATAATGGCATGGTTCCAATTTACCCTAGAAAAAATATAACCCATCCTCCCGTACGCATCCTTAATTCCTAATTCTTTTTTATCTATATTTCCTAATTCTTTTTTATCTATATTCTTTTCTAAAAATAGAAAACTGTTTTGACGGAAAAAAACCCAAGAAAGGAAAAAAAAAACAAACGACCTCCCAACAGACAATCTCAAAGTGTCCCTATAATATCACGTCACGTATTCCTACCAATAAATCCATTCTTATTGTCTCCATCATCCCCTCCGTTTTCACCAAAACAGAACGCATTTGACCCCGTCGTCGTCCTTGGTCTTGTGTAGTTGCGCGCGTGAGGCCGGCTCTTCTTCGATTTGATCGATTCCAATCGAGCCCAAACTTAGAAACAAACCAAAACCTTATTATCATAGACAGAGAAAATCCAAATCCGTATTTTTCCAGTGATAGTGATAGATGATATACATCGACAACGAGATAAATACGATAATTTCATTATCTTAAAATATATGAGTCGAATCTTCAAAAACATAGTGGTACATATGTTATGTACGTTCATACGTGTTTATGCGTATATATGATACATACGGCGGCTGCGTACAGTGTGTTTTTTTTAAAAAAAAAATCAAATCCATATATACACCATGTCAGACCATATTAACAGCAACCATGACACATGAACGTCATATGTACAGGATTTATGCGTGCATTTCAGTCTATCCGTAGTTTCCTATTATATATTCATATCAAAATATAAAGGATTTTGCGGTATGCCTTTAGAAACGCATGTCCCAGTACTAATGTCTCAACTTGAGAACACTTCTAGAAGTCTAGCTGTCCACTCTCTGTGTGCGCCTGCGGTTCGAGGCTTTTTTTGATCTTGTGCCGCCACTGCCCTGTGCTGCCACAGCTTTCCTCCTGCAAATCAGCGCCATCAGTTAGCTAAACCGGCAACCAGTCGAATCACCACTCCAGAATGTTGGTTCAGTTAGGAAGGCACTGACAATTAGGTTAGGTCTCATCTCACCATATAGCAGCTGAGAGCATCTTGTAGGTGTAGAACATCGGTAGAGCGACCAAAGCTGATGCCTGCATAGTGTAAACAGCTCAAAACGGTGAGATCTGGAAGAGCATGAGAAACTAATTTCTGTTTGTTTTTTTGTTTTTCCAAGAATGCGCAGGAGAGTTGCATATCATGGCAAAAGCCCCCCGGAATGGGGGGATTATTGAGAGTTTTTATATGGTATGAACAAAATTCTGTGTAAAATTCATGTGTTCCAAAGGATGCGTAATTGAGGAGGGAGATTACACTACCGAAGAAGCTTACCGTGAACCATGCGAACCTGTCGGCCGAATCAGATTTCAGCAGCCCGTTATCGTTTACGAAGTGTTTGATTCCTTTCTGAACCTGTGTAGCATCATCGACAAGATCCCTGAGTTATATGAGCAAAAGAATTGTGAGAGGGTTAACTGGTTAGAAAGGCTTACCTGGCGATGGGGTACACTTGCTGACATAACAAGCTTTCTCCAAGCAGATATGACAGGCCTCGTGTAAGGTTCGAGGACGGCACATACTCTTGACAGACGAGGTTCAGATGCTGCGACAACCTTGGTGATGTATGGTGTGGTGAACTTCTTGGATTCCTAGAAGGATAAAATCATTCAGATTCAGATTCAGAGTGATTGAGCGAGACTTTAGTAGGTTAACCACAGAATGAGATGAAAAGGCTGCTGGGTGTGTGCATTGCTACCTGCCAATAGTGATCTGCAAATTCTTGTGCCTTGGCCATTGATGGTTGGATGGTGTCTCTGCAAACTCTATAGGCTTGGGTACTCCTGGTAGCTATTGCCGATGCGTATACATCGGTGCTTTTTTTCAGAGAGTTGAGATGTGCTTTGGCAGCAGGAACCGATTTCTTTAGCATTAGAAAAAAAGAATGCAAGTCAGAGTGGTTTAAAAGTGAATTGAGGTGCATCAGTTCAACAAAACATGATCATGAACTTGACTACCGATTACGCTCACTAAAAAATCTAGTATAGTGTCATACACAACAATGAAAAGAAGTTGTTTGAAGGCCATCAGTCTATAGGATGTACATCATTTTTTACTCCTAACAAGTCTATAGAAGAGATAATTCGGAAACCTATATTCTGTGTTGTTTGCATGTGCGGCTCCACTAATGTTTGAGCATGTGCAAGGTTCTCAGAAATCTGTCCGGTTGACACATTAAGCCAATCATTTAGAAACATTTGAGGAATAGTTAATTAAGTAAAAAAAAATGAAACGAACCTTCTGCGCCAGAGCATCAAGCACAGGCTTCCCATGGAGCTGCCATTTGTCAGAAGCCAAGTCCTGCAAGTGCACAAAAACAAGCTCAACTTGAAGTAGAAAACTACGTTAACGTTAACATTCCAGTGAATCCATCTATACCTGACAATACACAAAACGAGCCATGACCCAATGTGGAAGCCACATGCCATGAACCTGAAAACAAACTCAAATGCTTATGTACCTTTGCCAGATGTACAGAGTACAGTAAAGGAGGACGGATCTATGAATCATTCCACAACAAGACAATAAGAAAGAAATGCACCAAAGAGAACATCAATTTTTTTTATTAGGACACCTCACAAAAGAAAAAAAGAAGATGACAGAATTTGCATACCTTCATCAACTCTTCCGCCTTCAACTTTGCTTCCCTCTCCACTTCAAAAAGTTTATCCTGAGCAAACCACATAAAGCACAGATAAGCACATTAGATTGTTCAGGTTGTTTTCATTTGTACACCTTTTGTATCAACCTGGACTTGCCGAAGACTATGGTTAAGCTCCTCAATTTTTTTCTTCTGCTCCATATTTATCTTTTCAGCCTGTATGATACAAATTAGAAATTACGTTACAAACATGTGAAAAACAGCTGAACACTACAGTATATCCCGATTGCGTACTTATAGTACTTACATGGTCCAACTTCTGAGTAAGCTCAAGCAAACTTTTCTCTGCTTCACTAGCGCGGGCTTCTAGTGATTCCCCTTTCTTAACTTGGTCCTCTAAATCACTACCCAGCCTCAGAACCTGACAGTTGTATGTCAGTTTTGTAACCATTTTTGTCAGGCTTAATTAATACCATTGTTTTGAAATCATGATTATCTTACCTGTTTCTCAAGCATCTCATTATGGGCGTTTGCCTTCAGCACTGATTCATCGTCAGCAACATTAGGCACCTGATTCAACAGCATAAAAAGAAAAAAGTCGAGATAACATTTATAGGAATAAGAGTTCCGAAAAAAAAGATTAGTCTAAGCTGAGGTTATACTATATGATTATGACAAGTGCCAGTTTGCCACTTCTGTTAGTCACTGATAATGAGCGGTCCTATTCAAGAAGTGATCATGTTAACTATGACTCGAAACTCATTGTTCTAAAATTCAAGTTAATTACTCCCTCCGTCCCAAAATATAAAACTTTTGGATGGATGGGAGCCTATCCAGATTCATAGTACTACAATACGTCTCATCCACACCTAAATTGTTATATTTTAGGACGGAGGGACTACTAAGTAATGTTGCACAGTCAACCAGTAACCAACAGTTTCTAAACGGGAGAGTTCAACTAGCAGTCATGTATTTTATGCCGTTATTGTCAGTTAATTATTACAGTTTCCAAACCAAAAAAGTTAATATAGCATACGGAGTTAAAATTCAAGAGAGTAATTCATAGAATTTCATACAATAAGGTGAAAAAACAGAATAAAATTCACCTGCAGAACTTCTAGCTCGCTCACCAATGCCGCAATCTGTGCTGACTTCTCCCTGACAACATTCTCCAGCTGCAAGGTCTCCTCCTTCCTCCCACTGATCTCATCCTCTAAACCCAAAGAACGTAATTCTTTCACCCAGTAAACAACAATGAATCAGGTAAATTTCCATTGCACAGTGTTAATCCGGTTAATGGAACAACCAAACTATCATCTTGTCCTATAACGACTCTTATTAACGAGTTGAACTTTTTGGTAGCTCCAAGTTATTATATGGTATCAAAGCAACAAAACCATGGTGATCTATCATATCTTTTGCGATATTCAACAATGCAAACAGAATAAATTTTCAAAATACGAGTATATAAATAAACAAGAACAGGACTCACCTAACGACGCGACTTTGGCTCTCAGCATCTGAAGCTCTTGCGCCTGCTCCGGCGACGACGGAGAAACGGCGGCGGCGACCACATCGCACCGGGCCACCTGAACGAAGCACAAGCAGAAAACGAGGACGGCCGCGATCACAGCTCGGTGGTTCGCCATGGCGCGCTCGCTCGCTCGCTCGCCGCCGGCGGCCGCGTATGGGCGGCTATCGACTTCTCGCTGTCCTCGCCGTAGAATCGATCTGCTGCTGTATCTAATCTTCGTCAGGTTTGCCTGGCATCAGCGTGCCTCAGGTTTTTGTATGCAAATGCGAGTGCTGGGTCGCGTCACGATTTGTCCAGAGACATTCCTATTTTCTTCATCAGAGTTCGATCGAGACTTTGTTTTTGCTGGACCAGGTTGAATTCGACGCGAGTTTTAAGAGTTTGGATTTTTTTTGATTCGTCCATGCTTTTGCGTTTTGCGTAGAGCTTGGGACTTTGGGAGTTCGAGATGGTCTAGTGCGTGGCTGTACACGTGTCGATCCGGGCGCGTACACGTGGCCTTCGCGGCGTGCAGAGCTGACGACACGTCAGAGAACGATGTGATAGCTGCTACTACAGTAACCTGCTGTGGCGTGTACGAAAAGCTTCGGGAGCACCGCCGCAAAACTTTGCCATTAGATTTCCGAATTTTCCTAAATTACAAGAGATTTGATGCGAAATTTGAGTGTGAACATCAGCAGTTTGGGCTATGGCCCAACAATACGTAGCTTCCGAAACCATGAAATAATATGGAATAAGTTCACCGCCGTCCCTCAACTTTACACCGAGATTTTTTGAGATCCCTTAACCACAAATCTAGAAATCTCCACCCCTAAACTATACAAAACCGTTCACTCAAGGTCCCTAGGCAGTATATACGAGTGGTTTTGCTGACGTGGCATCCTAGTCAGCAAAAAAAAATTTAATATGTGTGGCCCACATGTAAGTGAGACAATGGTGTGGGTCCCACATTTCTCTGTTTTTTTTCTTTTTCTCTTCTCTTCTCTCCGAAATCTCTCGAGTCTCGAGCAGGCACGGCGACCGAGGGGGAGAAAGGTGGCCGGTGGCGGAGCGGAGATGGCGGCGGCGGGAGAGGGAGAGAGAGGCGGTCGACGCGACGGCGGCGGCGGGAGAGGAGGAGAGGTGGAGGCCGGCGCGACGGCGAGCTCTGCGTCGGAGATGTTCGAACGTGCCGGGTGCTCGACCACGGGCCCCGTCGCCGCCCGCCGGGCGAGCGACGCGCTCTCCCCGTCGACCCTCTCTCCCTCCCCAAGGCGATGGGGTTGCTCCGCTGCCGAAAGAGCTGCTGCCTCCACTGGATGAACTACCTCAGCCCCGACCTCAAGTGCAGCAACTTCACCGACGACGACGACGAGCTCACCATCAACCTCCACGCCCTTCTCGGCAACAAGTAAGCAAAACAAATTTCAACGTGTTGTCATCTGCTCCGGTTAGCTCTTCTTGTGTTCTTGGTGCTGATTGATTGGTTCTGCAGGTGGAACACGCACATCAAGCGCAAGCTCATGAGCCAGGGCATCGATCCGCAGACGCATCAGCCGGTTAGCGCCGGGACCAGCGTTGCCGCGGCAAGCGAGCTGACCACAACGGCCAGCACTGTCGGCTTCCCATCCCTGCAGGCGCCGGCGCCGGCATGAGGGAGCTCGAGGAGGAAGGAGGGAAGGTTGGGAGGGGTCTTCCTCATAGTCGTTGTTGACGGCGGAGGTGTCTCCGGCGGAGGCCGAGTCAGCGGCGGAGGTGAGCTCGAGCTCCGCGTCGAGGAGCACCGCGAAGTCATCGCTGCCGCTCGACGACGACGGGGAGGACGGCGACGGCGACGGCGACTTGGCGGCGGGGCTTATGGTCGAGGGCAAAGGGCGTGCTTTGGTCGGTTGGGGTAGGCTGGATGCGCCTCCGCGCTCGCCCACCTCCGCTCCGCTGCCATGCTCGCCCTCCGCCGCTCCACCCGCCGCCGCGCTCGCCCTCTGCTTCTTTGCCCGCGGCCATGCTTGCGCTCCACTGCTCGGCCCGCTGCGCTTGCGCCTGCCGCCGCTCCGCTGCCGCGCTTGCCCTCTGCTGCGCCACCCGCATCCGCACGCGCTGCTCCGCCTGCCGCCGGCCTCCCTCACTAAAGAGAAATAGAGAAGAGAGAAAAGAGGAGAGAAGGAGAAGGAAGGAGAAGAAAAAAAATGTGCAGCTAACATGTGGGCCCCACGTATTTTTAAATTTTTTTTTGGCTGACTAGGATGCCACGTCAGCGAAACCACCCATATATACTGTCTAGGGACCTTGAGTGAACGGTTTTGTATAGTTTAGGGGTGAAGATTTCTGGTTTTGTGGTTAAGGGATCTCAAAAAATCTCGCTGTTAAGTTGAGGGACCTCCGGTGAACTTATTTCAAATAATATTTCTTTATGCCTTTATGGGCCTTTACGCAAAATTGGCAGAGCCCAAAATCCTAAAAGGCCTTTTTTGACAGGCTCTGACAATGCGTGAACAGTATCCTCTGCCTTGCAGAGAAAACCGTAGAGCGTGCCGTCTAGTCAGTTTTAGCCATCGGATCATCCTATCAACGGCCAGGATGGAGAAGGAATCCCTGTCTCTCTCCTCCATTAATTACACGCACGTCTCGAGCCCCCCGGCGGCCCGGCCACTGTACCCCGCGCGCCATATCGCCACCGCCACCGCCCACCCGAAACCTCCCGCTCCTCTCGAACCTTTCCGAGGCGGCGAAACCCCCACTCCCCGCCGCGCTGCGCCGCGCCGCCGCGCCCTCTCCTCCCGGATCTCGCCGCCACGCGGCTGCGGGGTGGTCGGGGGTTCAAGGCGTACGGGTGGCGCGGCTAAATCCGCGGCGCCGCATTTGGTTGGGGGGATATGCCCAATTCTGTATGCGGCCGCCGGATTTGAGCGGGCGGAAGCGGTGGGCGGGCGAGCCGGCGAACCACTCCTCGAGCGGGGCGCCGACGCAGGAGAAGGAGCAGGTGGATGGGCGGGCGCGGTGGATTCTCCAGGTTCAGGTTCGTCTCCCACCCTTCGTCTCCACAGCCACATCCTCTCTCGCACCGGAGGACCGGACGTGCGCTAGGTGTTCCGTTTCCGGACGCGTGAACGGTGAATTGGGCGCGCGATCGCGGTGCTTACGCGTGTGGGGTTAGTTGGATTTGTGGGTTTAACCGGTTGATCTGTCAAGGCGCGGGGAGAGCGCACCACGTGAGCACGCGATCGAACCCTACGCGTGTGCGCTTGTCGAGTGCCTGATTGGTACGCATTCCAGTCCAGTATTCAGATGAGGTGATCGGAACCTTTACTGAGGGTTACGAGGGCGCTTCAATCAATTGATGAATAGCGAGCGCTCGTGGGGAATTGGTCTCACGGGATAGGTAGAATCAATTTTTTAGGCAAAATGCACATAGAAACTGCGGAGGGTGTTTAGATATGTCTTCCAGGTATCTCCATTGCCCGGAGGCCCAGACATTACCTGTGCGTTTTGCTGCATGTACGTTCGGCTTCAGTTGTCAGTTTGAGCAATGGTGAACGTTCTCGTTAGCATGGTTTTTATGGCAGAGTAGGTTGGTTCCTGTGTAATGCACAAGCGAATAGTCTAGAAATGCCTAGTGCTTACTACATGTCATCCTGTTGCTAGTTGCAACGTGCAACCTGTCAGCTCTGAATTCTTCTGATCACCATAGTCCATGTGTGGCTCTATATATGGGCTCTGCACATGTACGCTCCATGCTGATACTGTCAACCATTGCCATGCAGACTGAGCATGCTCTCAGCTTTCAAGGAACGTGGAAAGCAGACTGTTGAGCAGGGAGTATATATCATGTGTTACCTTTTTTCTTTGGGGTGTGTGTGTGAGTACAGTTCAACGAGCTTGCTTCACCTTCGTCTGGTTGCGTGTGCGCGCGCACACGCTATGTCCACTATGTTTGCAGGTAACAAACACCTTTGGCAATGTGGTGTTCGCAGGTAACATATATTTTCCCCTCGCAAGCAAAATTTTTAAAAGAAGCTAATGGCTAGTTTTCAGCACTAGTATCAGGTTTTTCTTTCTGCATGCGGATTGCTTTTTGGCAATTTTTTTAAGAACTGAGCCTTTTAGCAATTCTCGCCCTGCTTTCGGCAACCATTGTCAAAGTAACAATTTTGTAACTTGTACCCCTGTTTATCTTAATGAAATTTGGTCGGCCTTGCTGGCCGACCTGGCAAAAAAATATATTTCCCCCTCCAGTTGTTAAAAATCTTAAGATACTAGCAGCATGTTCTTTTGAATTGTATTTATAGGTTTTTATTTTATTTTTCGTTGCATACAAGGCTAGTTCTCTATACATATTAGAAATGGTCAGTTCGTTTCCTGCAATGTTTTTGTTTTATGGTGGAATATTTGATGGACAGGATTGGCCTATCTCACTTCCTATCTCAAAGCGAAGAAGCACAATTCCTGCATATTCTCTAAAAACAGTAAGAAGATAGGATAGGTGGGGGGTGACCACACAAAAACAACCCAGTAATTAGCTAGAGCTAAGCTGCTCCCAAAAAAAAAAATTGTGCCATCCTCTTATTATTCCGTATGTGCATTAGAATTTATTATTTGACACATACTAATTCCTTTTGTCATTGTCATATTGTCAATGAAACATTTAAACACCACATTAATGTCTCCCCATCCTAAGATTTTGTTTTCAGTTGCATTGTCATTTAGATATAATCACTCCTATGGGTTTTTGCAGTCCTGTTAGAAGCTCTTCTTGCTAGTTTATTCTGCTTGACTGCTTGTAAGTTGATTTGTTGAATGCTTCATTGAAGATTCTTTCTGAAAATGTAATCATAACTTAATTGTTCCATCTTCGCCGCAAAAAAGAAGAAGAAGAAAACATTGGATTGTTCCATCTATTTTGATTGCGTTATGACTTTCTAGGCAACTACAATATATATATTCTTCAGTAATTTTGCAATATAGTACAAAAGATATAGCTATATATAAGTTTACTTTACAAGGCAAAATTTGTGTACACTTTCAATTTGAATGCAGTTTTGTGTCCTCAATGTAAATTTCCAATCTATTATAATAAAAATGTGCTTGATGCTTTTAAAAAGAAAGTTTCTGTTTCATGGGAATTCATGTACCCAATATCGAATGCCCTGTGTTGCAATGATTTGAAAATTGCTACTAAAATCATTACCGTAGTATACAAAGTTCTACAAACCTGCAATTCAATATCAAGTTTGATCTAGAAGTAAAGGAAAAAAGAAGACAAGAACCAATGTGAATGGTTCATCATGTCCCAAGTACAACTTGCCTTGTTTGGATCTTGACGTGTGGGATGAATCTGGCATTCATTTTCCTTTTTGCATGTCTGTACAACTTTATGTATACTTCACTCATGATTATTGAATACTGCAAATGTTGGATTTCACTATTTCTGCAACGGGGATGTAGCCACATGTGCAGGGCACAGAAATGTTTAGTTTTGGTTGTTATTGCGACCTATGTTCTCCAATACATGTTGTTTCCTATTATGCCAAGTTGACTGGGTTAATTAGTGTCAACTCTGAATACAGAAAGGTTGTTTTGTTGCTTCATCAATTTTGTGAAGCTCATGTACATACTTCGGTAATTCAACAATCCTATGTAACTGAGCCTAGCTTGGTGGAAGGTCAGCATCTCCACCCTCCACAACACCTGGGTTTGACCTCGCTTTGAGCTTAGGTTCCTTTTTTCTTCTTAGTGGAGAAAATCCTAATTTCTCTTATGTATTCTTTCTTGCATTGAGATTCCTGAATACCTGTTGATAGTTTTATTTATAGTTGGCAAATTTGACTGAATCATCCAGTTGATCCCAGATTATTCACATGTTTCATATACAGCACAAGTTCGTTCCATATTGAGAAAGGTTTGCAAGACTGTGAACTAGATATATGAGCCATCTTTCAGTTATTATTATTAAATTGGATGCCAACATTGCGTCAAAAAAAAAAAAAATGGATGCCAACAGAATATGAGGAACTGGAAGGCACCAGCCCTCAGTTTTCCTTCAACAGGCATGCAAGGTACAGAACCTGAGGTGGAGAATGAAATTTCAGGATTCAAACTCCAGGAATTTAATGATGAATTTTAGGTGGATGGAATCTTATATGGTCAACTTTGTAAAAGAAAGGTTCCTTTGTTTTGAGGCATCTGCTTAAGATGTTTAAATTCATGCTTTATGCCTTTGTTTTCTTTTCCTTTTTCTGGAGAGACACAATGGCTATTGTTTTCAATATAACCTTCTTTCAGAGCTCGTTATCATCGCCTAATTAGCAGAATCTTATGCAATAAATAATGTACATATAACAACGTATATAGTAGTGTTGTCGTGTATATAATTAGTCTTCAGCAGTAGCTTTTTTTTTTGTTGAGATAATCTTCAGCAGTAGCTGTAGTTAACATCATTCTTAAAAAACATCATTCAGTGGAAGCAAAAGTCTTCTAACATATTTGCCTTTAGCAGCAATTGGCAGTATTGCTTTCCGTTTTATATATATGACATCTTGCAGCATCGGATATGATGTGGTTTAGCTGTCGTGGCATATACAATCATCACTGCAGTAGACTTGTTTGTAAGGTTGTTAGGATTCCAATCTTAGCTGGAGCATTGTGTTGTCAAATGGTGAGATCTCCCCTTATTATTCGCTATTCACATATATGGCACATGAGAACATCCTTAGACTTAGTATATGTATGGGCTGCGAAATAAAATAAAAAAATGGTCTGTGTTACTATAAATTGCATGCATTGTTCTGTAGTTCCATGCAAGGGCAAAAAAAGGTACTATTATGTACGATTACATTCTAGTAAGACTGGAAAAGGTGTTACTGGAGATCTTCCTTTTTTTAGCAAAGGAATACTAGAGATCTGCCTTATACGTTAGAACCTAACACACTTGACTCACCTTGGTAATGCATTTTGATGATGATATTTTTTCAGCAAAAATGCCAAAAGGGGTAGGAGCTCTAACTATTGCATTGAAGGAGGTAAGAAATGGAATTTTAATAAGCACAAAACAAGGGGATATTACAGTGCTACGTGTCCTCCAAACAAGCTCCGAAGCACATCATGTAACGCTTTACTAATAATAGATTGTTCAACCACATGGAGTTTATTTCTGTTTGCATCATGTGAAGTTTAATGTTACCATTTGCATCCTATGATGCAATAGCCTCCAAACAAGTTCTGTCCGGTGTGCATCATCATGTAAATTGTAACTGTATGTGCTTGTTGTTACCAGGGAGCTGTTTTTGCTGCTTGTGCAGGACAAATTCTCCAGGCTTTCCCTTTTTGGTACTTTAATTTCTCCCCTTTGTCATTTCGATCGAACCTTTTGCTTATCTACATGCATGTATTACAAACTAGTCCTTTAGATAATCAGGATCACGAACTGGTGGCAATTCCTTGAAGGGTTGAAAAGCTAAATCACATCTGCAAGTGCAAGTTTGCCTCCTGATTTTGGACAGCATATCTACAATTGCAGGTGGAAATGGAATTCAATGTGTCACAGGAAGGTAAAAATACATATTCCTTTTTCTGTCTGATGAATAGCTAGATATTGCCACGCTCGGTGTCATTGTAGCTCCAATATGCGGTGTTGTACTATGAGAGAAATTAAACTTCAGTTCCAAAACATCAAATTGGAGAATATAATAGAGGTTCATTACTTTGATTCTGAAGCCTGACTGCTCGAGTCTTAAACTAAATTTAGTTTGGAGTTGCTTCTCATTGCAGATGTTAGGTTGGAGGTCTTAGCAACAATCTAACTAAATATTCATGCTTGTATTTTTCTTTAGAATAACCAAATGCTTGTAAAGTTTTTGGCCAGTAAACAATGTTTTTAACTTGCTTGGGATTGCACTAGACCTTACGTACTACTCCTTCCGTCTTAAAATATAACTATTTTTAGAGTTAGGTGCGTCTTAAGGAGAGGGGTAAAAGGACTATACTATCCCCATTAATATATCTTGGGCTTGGTGTGTTGGGCTGATGCAGGAAAAAGGGCATAGGTGAGTGTAGGGGTATTTTAGGTACTACACAATAAAATGTGCACTTTAGAAGCTACAAGTTGTTATATTTTGGGACAAAATTTAAACCCTATAAGTTGCTATATTTTGAGACGGAGGTAGTAGTTCTTTTGTTCTAATTGTGAAATGATGACATGCTAATCTTCATTACAGTTCTTGTGACCAGGAGATATTGTCTAACTCACACCTTTTGCAGGCATTAGTTTGAGATTGCTCTCAAGAAGAATACTAATGAGAGCAACAGTGTTTTATGGAGCTTCAGTAGAAGACAGTGTGAAGTACCAATTGATAAGTCTGACATGAAAGCGAGACTTGGAGAGCATTTTGACCTAACTTAGAGCTAATTCTTTACTTATTTCTTTCATTCCAAAGAACTTTAATATTGAACCACCACCATCTTTTTCTTGAAAATAATTGCTGTTAATTAACATAAAAAAATCTTTGGATGCCGATGGGGGACCCACCCTGTCCATGAGAAGTGCACGATGCGCTGCTCTAAAATATCGTAGAAATTTCGCTATAGAGTATGTTTGGGTTAATGGTCGCGGTTTTTGTTTTCTTTTGGTGTTCCCTTGTACTAACCCCGGACTTAACGGGCTTGTATGAGTCTTCTTAGACTCTTTCCTTATCCTAAATATAATGAAGCCCAACTATCCTGCTTGTTTGAGAAACAAAATCCTAGAAATTCCTGATGCTGCACATACATGTTATAAACCCCATGTATTAACATGCTTTATATGCTTATAATTCGTCTATTTATGTATTATACACAAGATTTGTCATCAATATGGATGCAGTTTACTTTTAGTTGGTGTTTTTGGTGAAAACTTTTTTTCGGTTTAGAACTAATCTGAATTATCTACATCTTGGTCTGGTTTCATCTATTTAACAGACAAGATATATTCTAAAAAATATGACTGCAATGCTAATTTCATTTGATACTTGGATCAGCATAATCTACATTTTGGACTTCTTTTTTTGACGAAAATACTGTCAATTTGGACTTGCTAGCTAGATGTATATTATATATCTGAACAGTTCCTGCACTGATCAAGTTAGTACCAGTGGCAATAACCACTCACTGATATTCTTATTGGGGGATTTCCTTGTGGTTATTAGTGTTGTATACTTGCTTAAACATATTGTAGGCTGAAATTGTAAGGTCAATACTTGCTATCATTGTTGTTATTTATCAGGTAGAAGTTGACTACTTGTGGTCTTTCCATCTGAAGTTTTTGTTTTACTCATAGTACATGAAAAATTTTAAATTTGCTTAATCTTCGCTTATGCTAGTTTATCATGAAATGAATCAAGATGTTCCATAAGTTGTAACATGTCTTGCTGGTGGTCCATGATTTGTAGATTTCTGACATTGAAAGCTTAATTCTTTTATTTTTGTGGTTAGTTGACAATAGCATGTGATATACTCACCTTATTCTGCTGCATTATCACATGATTTGTTAACACACCATTCTACTTCAGATTTATGTTGCAATAACGTTGGATAATCTCAGAACAATTAATGTAACCTATTTGTGTTGCTGCCAATCAGCCTATCCAGTCAAGCAACCGTGCACTTGCTGACCTCCCGAGCCTTCTTCAGAAATCTCCTTCACCATCTGTAGCGTTTGTTAATTTTTTCCTGGCTAAAAAGGTAATTACTACTGCACCTTAGCCTCTTTTCAGGTTGTGAAGCACACCTCCCAACATGACATCAACTAGGAATAAAAATTGTACTGATTAATAGAGGGGAAGCATGGAGAGGTAATGGAATTGCATTCCGCACTTCTCACTAAACTTGAGCAGCTTTATTTGCAAAGCTGCAGGATTGTGTAATTGTTGCAGAAAAAAGTGCACCAGCAACGTTTACCATTTGTTCGATGCATATGGTTCATTACTTCTATATATGTCCGAAAGTGCCATGTCTTGGATCATGTCTTACATTTTAGCTGCCTACCTTTAACATTATACAACTTATCTGCATAGTCTGATAAAACATGTGCCTGCATCTATACACCAGTTAACTTTTTTGGGGGGTTGGGGACTTTGGGGGAGGGGGGGGGGGGGTTAAAGAAAACTTTATGTTCACTGTCAAGTCTGATACTGTCACTGTGTCACACACATTGCAGAAAAGTTTTAACTCAATTAATATCATCATTATTTCCTACTGCAACAAGAGTCAATGGCAGATACTTGCCCCCTCATTTATCTCTTGAGAAGGGGTATTGATTATCATGATCCATCTAATTATGTTGAGCATTATCCATTGATACCCATTGGGAAAATTAACTAGACTACTAGCATTAGCTAGTGTGTGAAAGATCTCTACTCAATGCTATTGTGAACATCTCTCTTTTAGGCTTTTAATTAGCCATCTAACCTGTTAGTAATGATTAAGTACATCGCTTTATTCAGAGGAAATGAGGCAGGACCACCGACATTGATCAGTTCTCTTTTTTAGGGGATACAACACTGATCAGTTCTGGCACTTCAATTCATGGCTACATCAATCTGCGATGTACCTTTCTGCTTCTGTCGTACGTGTTTAACATTTTCTTTTACATCCACAATCTATGTGCTATGACACCCTAAGGACTACTGTGGTAATCAGGAGCCTCGCGAGGAATCTTTCTTGTGCGCAGTGATGGTCATGGTTTCTCTTGGCTTTTCATATGATCATAAAGCAATACAAGACATATATCTTCATTTTCTTCAAAAACCAAGGATTAGCATATGATAATGGTTAGTAAATGGTAAGATACTAATATACTTTAGTCTGTTATCAACTGAAGATTGAGCCTGTATCCAAGGCTCCATTTTTTTTTTCTTGCTTACAAGTTCATGCATGTCCATTGCAGAAGGAACAGCAAGATGTTGAACATGTAATGTATGCACTAATGCACATGCAGAGCTGAAGAGACATGATTCTGAGGTAATAAGTCAGTCTTTAAGCATTGCATACTTACTCATTCGTATGTATCTTGGTGGAAATCGTCGGCACAAACAAGCTACGGTACAGATGGCCCTCGAGGATGCTCAAGAGCCAAACGCTAGAAGAAGAGAGCTAGGTGTAGCCAAGGACAGACTTGCCGGCTAACTCCAAGGCGCTTCAGCAAAGCTGAGATTCCCCCAATACCAGGAGCCGGCAAGTCATCCTTGGCTGCATCCCGTTCTCCTCCTCACAGTGCATGGCAACCCAGCAGAAGCTGCCTCAGTGGTTCTACTGCATACTGAACAGTACAGGTACTCTTCCTACTTCTCTTCTTCCTTCCCCTACCATGGCTGCTTTTCTATCATGTGGTTTGATCTGCAAGCGTGCATTGCAATCGGGAGGTATGGCCTGCATTTATAGGCACAGGCACAGGCAAGTTGGGCTTGGAATCATATGGCGATCACTGTTCAATGGATTCTTTATTATAAATATTTCATCAATCATAGAGTTTGCCATTTTAGGGATGTGATGATGACTCGCGATTGGTTGGCCTGATTTCCATTTTTAAATTGATATAGTGGGCCCTGAGGATGTGGCATCCTCTCGATATGGGCTGTTAGGCTGGCATGATCCCCTCGGGCTGTTACTGGGGAGCCTCATTGGTTGGTTGGGACTGGGGATTGAGCTGTTCGCCTGTTCCTATTGGCTGCTCGCACGTGAGCATGCCTTGTGTGATCTCGATCTAGTGAGTTTTTTTTGTAACAACACCTCAACAGTCCTCTTTGTACCCCAGTGTTGCCAGCAAAAGCCAAGTTAATTACCTCTAGATACACACACATTGAATCTTTGGATATCCATGATCTTGTAAGTAGTACTCTACCTTCAACCTAACTCAGTACAAATAAAGGCATTGATCTTCGATCATCTTTATAACTCCATTATTTGACAAAAGAACCTAGCTAGCTTTTGTTATATTAATTTCAATAGCTTCAAGCTACTTTTTCAGGCATGCATGTGCCTTCTTTTGCCTGGAAATGGATGGGAGCATTTGGTTCATCCCGCATATAAGAATCTAATAGTTACATCAACAGATTTATGGTACATCACCGTGACATGCATGCTTATGTTAATTGTCTTGTTTTTATAAGAAATGTTTGTTTTATTGTACTTCTATTCGAACCATTTATCATATCCGAATGATTTTGTTAACATAGTGTAGCTGTGAATATAGTTATGGATAATTAAAATCATGTTTGAATAGCTCATATTACTATTATGCTCAATATCGTAGATTCAATCAGTAGATGTGTTGGAAAAGACATGTGCGTGCTGCTTGAAATTTTTAGCAAGACATATACACAAAAGCTAAAAATTTCAAGCAACACGCACATTTTTTTAGCAAGACATATATACACAAAAGCTTGTCGGCCGATCCAGCAAAATATATACACAAAAGCACTAACTAGCTCCTAGTAGGGATGCAAGCGGGTCGACCCACGAATCTACTTATATGTTAAATAAAGAGTAATCTGTGGGTTTTCACGTTATGGCTCGGCTTGCCGCGTTGTATAGATGCAAGTGGGTCAATTAATAAACCTATTTATAGGTCAAATTAGTAAGTAACCCACGAGTCAACCCGCGGGTTACTCACTAATTTTGCCTATAAACGGGTTCGCGGGTTGGCCCGCTTGCATCCTTGGCTCCTACGGAGTTAGTAGTGACTCGCCCACTGAATCTCTGACTGTAAAAGGGCAGGGCATTAGTAGAATAATTAATATTACTAGATCCTTGTGTTGCAATGGGCTGGGACAAAATAGAATTTTGCAACAAGTTTGATAGTTGTTTTTAAGGTTTAATATTATATATTTGAATTGAATTGATGCATAAGACTACCATTATCCATCTTTAGAGCCTAGTGCTGAAAATGGTGGGAAAAAAACAAATCCTGTCATAAAATGAGAGGAATGGATAGATGAAAGTTGAAACATACTAGGTCCACTGGAAATAAATCCCATAGGTCTGCTTTGCCTTTAACTGGGGGTTTGTTCAGCATGTATAACACTTGACTTCCTAGCTGGTCACCCATTTGGTAAGGACACTTCCTATCGGAATAGGTCATGATGTAATCAGTACCAAACCAGGGTTGAAATGTTAAGGGGTCTTAAGGATTTATTCTATTTCCAGAGGTCCACCAGGCAAAATTATTGCACTTGCACCAGAGATGAATGAAATATCGAGAATGATTATGTTCACGCATGTATTCTTTGTGCTCACTTAACTAGAAATTCTCTTGTGCCTAGTAGTGTTTTCCTAAAAAGTTGTCCTAAAAGGCATTGCACACAATTTGATGGTAGCATGTAGAATTTGGGGAAATGTGGCACTCCCATGCATTAACTTTTTTTGTCGCCAACCTTAGTAGAAGAGATTAGGGCATGCATTTCCATGCAATACACCATTAAATTATACTTGTTACAAATTTACATTGATTATTTAATTAAATTTTCTACTAGTTCAAAAATACTGTTGCACAGGCACTAGCAGTTTTTTTCGCCGGGCCGGCGAATAGCCGGCCGATGTATATTAAGAGTAAGAAAGGGAATGTACAATATAGCGCGGTGCGTCAATGCACCACCATTACAGACATAAAAAGAAAGCTAAAATCTCACAGAATGAGTTGCTACAGAGTGACACATGGGGCTAACAAGACCTGCAGCTATCCAAGTCTCCCATTCATCCCCCATGGCAGAAAAGAGCTGGGGAATCGTTGCCTCGATCCCTTCGAACACCCTTGCGTTTTGCTTTTTCCAAATCAACCAGGTTACTAGCAGTACAGCGGATGTTTAGATATCACTCTAGCTATAAGCTTCCCCAGTTTTATTTTATTTTACTCCTTATGATTTATATACCAATTCTATGGTGGTTTCTACTACTAGTAGAATCAATCCAGACCTTGTATCTTTTCTCATCCAATAGATCATGTTAGTTTATCTTATCACCTGAACTACCGATAGTAGAATATTTTTTCTACTGATAGTAGAACTTATAAATTAATGACTTAGACGATAATATTGGTCGTAGAATAGTACCAAACTACCGATAGATACCACCGTAAAATACTCACAATTAATTATATGTAGTTAGCTTCTGTAACTCAAATCACTTCGGTTATGATGATCTATAGAAGAGATATGTGAACTTCTCTACAGAACTGCAAAATAAATATAGATAGAAAATTAGGATTTATGTCAAGTGAATCATTTTAATGTTATTTTGAAGCTTTGATAAGTGAATTCTAAGACATATATGATATAACAATTTCTGCTTTAGTGTTCGCATCTATGAAAATAGACCAAGTCCTAGAACTAGAAGAGAACTCTTTGCATTATTCTTGGAAGGCCCTATATACAATTAATCAAGAGGGGCTTGCACGGTGATGAGAACTGATGATACTTACCGTGGTTATTGTTCTCTTACCATTTATTCTTGCCATATACGGGTTGATTGGGACACCAGTACACCACTGGTGCACCACCATTTGGAGCATCTGCCGATTGGAGATTTTGGCACCATCTTCTTTTTAATGGGACCATTCTGATTCGATACCCTGCGTATCTCAATTGGATTGTGTGGTCTCTCCGTCCCTCCTCACTCACAGTGCGACCTGCACATGTAACCTTTTTATCCTTTGCATGTTTTCCTAAGTGATTGGTGGGAAACCTCGTAGGATAAGTGTCCTTAATAGTCATTTCATTGGTATATGTAGAGAACTGTAGACCTATAATGTCTCTCACTCTCACTCGCAGGGACGCAGGCAACATAGCCTTAGCTAATGATGAAGGATTTGCTGGAGTTAGTTGGTACCACTTTCACAAATCAAGCACATCCTCACACTGGGTCCCGAAAATTCTGCACCGGCCTCTCTTAGGGTTTCTATCAGAGCAATGTGTTCTTTTTTAGTGGCAGAGAGTAGTGATAAGGATGATGATAACTGCTAGTGGGCCCCCGTGCCGCTCCAGGGGCAGGGGCGACACGGGCGGCGACCACCGCCGCCTTCCTCCCTCCTCCACCTCGCCGCCGCCCGAGCAGACCGCCGGAAACCGCGTGGCTGCGAGGAAGGCGGCGGCGGGGCCTTCCTTCTCCCTCGAGGGCGCGGGTCGGTGCCCACGACCCCGACCAGTTGGGGGCGGCGACGGTGCGGCGGCATCGGCGTCGGCGTCAGGGCGTTGGGCTGGGCGCGCGGAGGCGACAGGGTGCGGAACAGCTG